CTTCTTGATTCTACTGAAAGGCTCATCTGTTTTCCCATGTTTCCTTCACTGACAGCTATCCAGCAGTCAAATGCCACCTGGAAAAGTATGGAACCCTTTTTGCCATCCACAGGGGAGCAAGGCTCTCTCAGATACCACTCTGCAAATTGACTGGCAGACATCTGCAAAGATGCCCCCATGCAGGTATGACCTGGTAGCATCCTGTTTATTACAGAAGGGAGCAATCTACTGCCCCCTAGATATACCAGACTACAGCTTTCATAATCCCTGACCACTGGCCAGGGATTGACACTGATGAGAGTTTATCCAAAATATCTAAAAGGAATCATATTGCCCAACCCTAGTTAATTTCTAGTGGATGCAGCAGTTTGTATATGAGGAACAACACTCATAGTCTTTTCTTCCTTACTTGATTCGATTTTCTAAAATAAAATGGCTTACAGATGATTCCATTGGCTATACAAGTGCTATACATAGCATTAGGAAGCTCATTAGATGAGTTTAGAATTATTGATGCTGTCAGACAATCATCATTATGAAGCATGGATTTAATCCTGTTATTAGTAATGCACTCTAAATCACTGCTCTAAAGTTTTAAATACTTTAAGTAGAAAGGCAGAGCAAAACTGAGAAAAGGGATCAAAGGAGGAAGATCATAAACAGCACTACATATAGTGTAGCGGTGTTTAATCTCAGGAAAGTCAATAAGGAATCCAAATTCAAACTGATCTACATCATGCTATTTAAAGAATCTCCAAGCCATGTCCTGGCGTAGGCACCTTCCAAATGTAATGAATGCCATTCAAATGTGGAGAAAGGCTGATGTAGGGCATGCTTGTCCTTGTCATATAACTAAGCGCTCTTGTGCTGGAAGTTAATTGGATCGTATGGGACAAACGAGAGAAGAAATTGCATTTCTCCTTTAGCCCTTTTTAGGGATGAACTTCTACATCACCATTCAACAAGTCAGCATGTGGAGTCTTTGTATGTACAGCACAGGAAAAGGATCCTCCTCTGCAAACACTGGTATCAATGAGCAGGCATTTGAGGAAGCACTGAATTTTGCCAGACAGTGATGTCAGAAGCAGGACTGGCATTGTTGATTTTCAATGTACTGAAGCCCTAAACGAGGATTATTATTATACCTTCTTTGCCCTAGAACTCTACACCAAGGAAAGCGCAACCTTTGACTTTTTGGCTCTTGTAAGCAACTATGAAGAGGAATATGCTTTGCCAAAAGTGTGTCTGTGGAGAGGGGGGGAATAACAACATGCAAGCAAGCTTCTTGTGCTTACATGCGAAGGTGCTTGTGGACTGAGGGCTGCTTGGTTGGTTTGGGGTTTTTTCCTCCCCATATATATAGTCCCTATTTAAGTTCAGTCTGGTAGATACTAATCAAAGGTTTTAAAAAAATCTGTGCAGAGAAAGGGGGGAAAAAAAGCAGAACAAAAAAGGCTTCTGGGATAAGTTCAAAGAATGTAACTATTCTCTACAAATCTCAGAATTAATTGCATTTCACTATTCCACAACTTGAAAATAAAACATTAGATAGTAAAATAAATAGCGCTCTGGTTCTTTGCAGCCATAATATGCATTTGCTACTACCTTTAAAATCATACAAGTGGCAGGGACCGAGTCTTGGATTTGCACACAAAGCTGCTTTCTGCTAGAACTTCCTAGGAAAGCAGCATTTAGCTGCAGGGATATGATCGCTTTGCTTTTTTCTAAGACATCCACAGACCCAGCAGTAATAGATACACAGAGAATTTCACACCACTCAAGTTGGGTACTTATTCTTCCTGTGCCCTCTGAGCAGGCATTTGGGTTGCTATTTTAGTTGTCCACTATGATTAATTTTTCCACTGGGTTCTGGCTAAGCTGGGTTGGCTTGTTTTCCTATATGGCCTTCTGAGTACCTTTTTTCTCCATGTCGGTAGCATTTGTGCAGTGAATGACATTTGCGCTCATAACAAATCAGGCACTCCAGGAGCAGAATGCACACACAGACCCACATATGCACATAAGTCTCCAATAAATGCACTTAGCCTAAGAAACATATAGATTAAAAAAAAACAACAGATTAGATGTCAAAGCTTTTCAATCAGGAATAAAGCTGCTTCTAAAGAGGAAGCATCAGCCAATGCAGGCATAATACTACGGGTAATCCTCATTTAGCAACTGCCTCATTTAGTGACTGTTCATAGGTATGACAGTGATGAAAAAGTAACTTTGCCACCAGTCCTCACATTTACAACCTTTGCAGGTCTGTAAAGCAAAGGAAAGCTGAAGTAAAATTGTAAAATCATGATGTTTCACTTAGTGACTGCTTTGCTTAACAACCAAATTGCCAGTCCTAATTGTGATTGCTAAACGAGGACTACCTATATATTTAGCATTACATGCATGAGCTGCAGCAAGCCTTGGGTTCACACAGCTCTTCATTCCCTTTAATAAATTTATGAGGATACAAAGATATTAGGAACATCACTTCCGGTTTTGCTCCCTAGACTATTCCATTTCATCTTCACAGGACAATAAACAGTGGTTAGTAACCCAACAAAGGACAGAAACCTAATTTGCCTATGTCCTTAATCTTGCTTTATCTAGAGTTACCAAAGTTTACCCCCACTTTAAACAGGCATTTGAGTTTTCAGTGTGGAGCCCTAATCTGGCCTGCAGAAAAGCCCCATCTGGCCTGGAACCCATTTAGGGGCCTTAGTGATAAGTCTACATTTTGCCATGTTTTTAGCAAGTATGGTTGCTTATTAGCGATGTAGACTGTTTGGCCTGCCAGTTTTATATTTATTTTCTCTTGAAAAATATATTAAATATAGTAAAAATATATATTTAATATATTTTTCAAGAGAAAATTCGGTAGACATCTCTAGTTTTACTTCTGTGAAAAAGAGTATTTTCATCAGAGCAAGTATGTGACTGGACAATTGCAGTCCTATCTCTGTCTTCTGTTCTGTTTCTTCTGTGATTCCTTTCTGAGTCTCATAGATTTGTCTTCTCAGTTTTCCCCTGTGAAATGGATAATTTGCTATTATAGGTAGAATATAATACTACATGGCTTGGGATTTGGGGCTGAAACTCAAAAAGCCTGGGTTCCCATGGCCAAGAGAACTAATAATATAATTTTACATATTTTCACTTGACCGTAAGTTCTCTTGTGTTCAGTTAAGTTTCTTCCATGGTAAGCACACATAGTATTACAGTAGTAACATTTATAGCCTTGTGTCATATTTCTTATCATAGCCAAATATTACGTTACTCTTATTTCTTACACAGACTATGTTAACTATAATATTATTATTCAGTTTCTTGTCAATTCTTGACATCAAAAAGTTGTCAATAAAATTGACATTCACAACCCAAAATTCTGTTGTGAGATTCTTAAGAACTGAACAACCAGCTTATATGGGGAATGGCTATATTCCTGCTCTAATAAACATTATGGCAGGTGCAAGAAATATCTTATTTCACTCAGGGCATCTTGCTTTTCAGATTCCCTTTGTGGCCAATGCTCGTAAACACAAAATAGAGCTTGTTATGTTTTGCTTTCACATCTAAGCACTGAATTTTAACTGACAAGTTCCACTGTAATTGAAGAAAGACAGATGCCCAAATGAGTCTTCTGGTATAAATCACAGTTTGGCTAGAAATCTTATTTCTTATTGTCAGTGTAGAAAAATATAGGCCTAGAAGTAGGCAGTCAAAAGATAAATTAAAATGCAATTAATTATTTAATGCTCACTATCTGACCCACTGTAAGTAGAGAAAGTCAAGCTTAGGAAGGCTATCAGTAAATTGTGCAAGTATTATTTATTTGATAAATACGAAAAACAAAAGACTCAAAAGCAAAATGTTCTTTAAACTTCTCACCTCTTGCTAACAACTTCTTGCTATGCCATCATTTTCTAGCCAGCCATATATTTCTCGGTATTACTACACTACTAAAACAAATCAATTCTCTCTCCTCATTGTCTCCTTGATGTTCCATGATTCTTTTCTACCATCCACTCAGCTCCAGGATTCCTGGAGACCACTGAATATGCTCGGTCCTCACAAGGCAGTTTTTCTTTTGTTTTAGTGTGTTGAATGTTACAAAGTTTTTTTTCCCCCTATTTCAACATACCTTAGGATTTACTCAGACATATTGACACCTCCCTCTTGTTTTATAGTTGTTTTCTGATTCCACTGTGTTGACATGGGAATGTTGCATTTGCTATAAGAAAGATCCAATTACCAATGTCTGTGTTTTTCTGCACTGCTGCAACTATCAAGTAACTCTAATTCAAGGAGAAAAAATATAGTGGATACATTTTTTATCCTGCAGCAACATCAAAGACCATTTAGGTAACTATGTGAAGACTCACCTCCCGCAAGCTCTTGTTTGGCCATTTCTCCTGTATTTATTTTTAAACCTGTAGGGTTTGTACTCATCCCTTTCTCCTCACTAATCTTTTGCTAACCACCACCCTTTTTTACCATTATCTATCCTCATTTTGCACATATTCTATTATTACCTAAGAGATGCCTTTTAAAGCTTCTTTTCCATTTTTTGTTTATTACCAGTATATTCTTCTTTCACAAATGAAACTAGCTTTTGAATTTTTTTCATCTGTATGTGCTTCTACTCCATCTATTCACTGCTTCATACTTAGTATTTTGTTCTTTAAACTTCTCACCTCTTTCTTTTTGAGGATATTTAAATACTTGAACATAATTCTTTCATAAAAACTGTATGCTAACACTATAAAGGTCCTAGTAACAAGGTGGTGACTAGCAACTGCAGGAATTCGAGCTACTCAAATCCTGTGTAGAAACTTCCAACAAAACATATGCAATAATCTTGTGATAAAAGAGGCATTTGGTGTTTCCACTCCAACATCTGATCTCAACTAGTACAATTAAATAGCTAGATTCCCAAGACTGTCACTATGATCTGAACAGACAGAAAGATAAAGCAAATGATACCATTTCTACAATTAACTTACATTCTTTGGACATTCCCACTTCAAAGCACTTCTGTAGCCTGCAGTACTGGCAGCGATTCCTAGTGACTTTATTAATAACACAGTTCTTATCTCGATGACATGTATAAACCATGTTCTTCTGAATGCTTCTGCGGAAAAAACCCTGCAATCAAGCAGAAAAGAAAAATGAGTGAAGTGAAAATTATTATCCTGCAAATTGTTCTGTGAAATGACAGAAAGAGTCACAACATCATGATGCAATTTGATAACCTTTAAGCTTTTAAAAATATTCAACATTCAACCACAGGAAATACTGTTTGGTTAAAATAAGCAAGAGCATCTAATACCCAAAACAGGCAGCCAGCAAACAAAGGACAATGGCCTAGGAAACATGGTAGAGAAGACCATTTAACTGAATGACATGAAGCAAAACAAAGTCTTCTGGAATAGTTTTGCTATCAAGTCATAAAACAATAAGTGGAGGACAAATGAACGGGTCAAGAGGAAGGGGAAGGTGTATCTAAGGGAGTTGGTAAGATCCTCAAAGAGAAAGAGGTGAGAAACTTCGAGTACAGAAGACCACGTATGAAGCTATGTATGGCCGCAGCAGAAGCAAAGGTAGGAAGATATGGAGAGGTACAGTTAATATACACACTGTGTTGATGTACAGTAGATTTGGTTCAACTTCCTTCTTGCATTCATTACTTCTCAATCCTTTTCTGCATTGTATAGTGTTGCTCACTCCAAAAAGGAATGACATGATAGGTGGGTAACCCTATGATGGTTAGGATTCAGTAATAAATTTGAGTAGTAGTTAAGCTGTTGGACTGGCACTGGAAAAACTCAGGTAAAAGTCCACCTAAAAGCATGGAAGCCTATCAGGTGAGTTTGTGCCAGACATTCTCTTTCAGCCCAGTGTATCTCATAGTGCTGTTGTGGGGAAAATGGGTGGAGGGAATACTAGGTACACCACTTGAGCACCTGAACGAAAGATGGAATAAATCTGACAAGTAAATTTAAAAAATGGATTTCCTTGATTGGCTTAAAAAAAAAACAGACATTGTATCCAGTAAATATTTTCATCATGGAAACCACTAAGAGTATTCTTAACACAGTGGGCATCAATAGAATGAATGAATTAATTAATTAATTAATTAATTTTAAAAAACCAAATGCATACATACATAAAATCAGAGAGTTGGGACTGGTCATTCCCCTGCTCATTAGAGGGATTCAAATTAAAAACAATAAATTGTTTTTTTTAACATATTCAAGGAAGTCTAGCCCTTACCTACTTATCAGTTCAAACATCAAACTGTTCTTATCTTAATATTAAGCAGAATCTGTCACTGCTACTCATAAGTCATGCTCCTGCAGTTATTTGAAGTTTTTACCATATCCTCCATAATCATCTTTTCTGAAGACTAAATAGACCCAACCCTTCACTCTGTCTTCATAGGACTTAACATGCAGCTACACTGAAACTATGATGTAATATAACGGATTAGATTCTGGGACTTTTATACCATTAACCTGGAACTATGCATTGGTGAAATTAGAAAAAAATACTTGATCGCATTAGAAAATGGATCAATCAGAACACATCACTCAGATGTCAACCAGTATATAAAACATAATGAAGTATACATGGATTCTCAGATTTTTCTTGACTTGGAAAATTATTGGCAAATAGTCTTGTTACTGTAGCACAGTGTAGGAAACATATCTATATATACTGTATAATGCAACCCTTAAGTGAGCCTGTTTCTTCCAGGTGTGGTAAAGGAGATTATCCTGGTGTCAGTTATAAATTAATCAGTTTTTATGTATGGAAAAGATGTGCAAACATTATAAATAGCCCCTTTAATTTAGTCCTGAATAACTACCACTATCTGAATGCAAAATACCAGACAAATTTCAGCTTCTGGAATTGGGCTTTCCAGAAAGCTCCTGAAAGTTGGAAGTTCCTCTGGAAACAGACATACCATGACTATGGGGGCTGCAGCTGGAAGAAAGGGAGACAGATAATTAGCAGAAATTAGAGACAGCATATTGCATGGACAGAAGAACCTCATGCTGTGCAAAGAGCTCTCTGGATCCAAGTTAACGTTGATACTGGCATGATAGGATAATGAAAGAATAATGCATTTTTTAAAAAATGAGCCACCCAATCTACAAAATGAAAGAAACAAAACCTGCAATACGAGGAGGGACACACTACCCATTTGACTTGCATTTATAGGTCACCTGTTTGACAGTTGTCCTGTTATGCTACCAGACCTAGGCAATCCTTTTAACCCAAGGGTCCTATTACAACTGTTGAAGAAAGAACATGAGAAGGCCCCTCTCATTTACAGGAAGAGAACAGGAATGCACCAGTACATGCTTACACATGAGTAAAGAACAGAGATACCTTATCCCCCACCCCCGTCTTGGCATCTTCCCCAAAATTAAGTACTTCTCACAACCCACAAAGGTTGTCCACCATAATACAGGCATTTTGCAGGTCTTAGAGGCTACTAGGAGAGAGTAGACTAGAAGAAATGGGGAAGCTGTGGAGAAAGGGCATGCAAGAGAATTAGCTAGTAGGAGATAACCCATATAGCTTATGAATCTGCTTTTTCTGGAAATGTGCCCCCACTTCTATACTAATATTACAAAGCAAACATGGAGTTGGAAACCTTGCATTTCCCAGAAGACTCCTCTCCAGTATTTAGAGATTCCTTAAGTGAGTACACCAGGAATTTGGAACTTATGGATTCAAATGTCGCTAGCTACACTTTGTAGAATCCCTCACCATTGGCCATACTGACTGGGACTGTTAGGAACTGTAATTCAGACCGAAGAGTCCCTAATCCCTGATATAAAGGATACATAATCCTCCAGTGCAAAACATAGAAGGGAAAAGACACTTCCACCCTCCACATACCAACAGAATATAGGTCAAAATCAGGCCCATCTTTCTTGAAAAGTACTTTTTTAATAGCACAGGCTTTAAACTTGTCTTATATATTTAGCATTTTCCTCTGAGAAAACTATACATGTCCTAAGACAGGATACGTAATTTATTATCTGCAATAACAGTAATAACAATAATGTAGTGACTTCAAATTAATAGCCAGCAGGGTATGAGTCATCTAAGTTATTTTTTTCAAGAATTCATTTGCCCACATTTCACTCTATTTATTAGCATTGAGTATTCTTACAGGGAACGTATTATGCCTGTGAGGCATAAGGAATTTACATGAACAATTCTCATTAGTGTTAATAGGCGTTTCAGCACCCACATAAATCTTCTGTGATAGGAGCATGAGAGTGTCAGTGACAAAAATAAGCAGGAAAGATATTACCCTTACCAGACAAAATATCATAGCAGCATGTTCCAAACTGCATGTGCTTCACTTGCCATTTGAAGCAGGCTTGGAGAAGAGGAATGAACAGTGGGAATGCTTTGTCTGAGCATGCCACGTGCATTAATAATTTATAGAAGGAATTTGGATACTTTCATTTTAATTTAGTGAATAGACAAAGAATGATAGAGCAGCCCACTTCTTGCCGGGGGGAACCACTTTCATAAAATACATATTCTCATGTACATGTTACTTTTCCTTTTCCTCCTTCCCCTCCCAATCTCTACAATTCAAAATTCTCCAGAACAAAATACATGCTCCCCTCTCTCCATTCCACTACTTCCTCAATAACCTCTCTTAAAGGTAGTTGGGTAGAGTATCATCTTAGCCATGTTGCATTAGATGTCCTCATTTACAGATTGCAATGGGAGGAAAAACACCTAGTGTAAATAATTCAGAATCTACTGTATCAACGTGTGTTCTCTGAGCATTCGCGGTTGGCAAAGCAGACAGATTATTTTTCACATTTAATTGTGTTGATACCTTATCCACCCCATCGAAAGTGGAGAACGGTATGTGAAACCACATGTACCCAGGAACAAATAAAGCCAGTTACTAGGTCCATTATTTAAAGCCGGAGTATCCCATCTAGACAATATTACTTTAACATAAAGCCAAAAAAAAGAAAGAAAGAAAGAAAAAAAAGAAAGAAAAAGAAACAAACAAAAGGGAAGAAAAAAAGGCCAAACTTCTTGCTATTTATTTTTGTAATGCTTGTCTATTACTACGTCAAACATGAACGACTTTAGTTCAGCGATAGGTTGCTTCAAGAAGATCTGAACAGATTTAATAACCAGCATCACAAAGGACTTTCGAAAGCCATCTGGATACAAAGGCAGTCATTGTATCACATCCTCTATGATAATAAACCAAATGTTTCTTTGCTCAAAATTCAAAGGCATTTAAACCAACATAAATCCTTTGGAATGTGTTGCCTTGTTATCTAATGTGATGAAAAGAGAGGCATCTATACCAGCACATCATATTGCTGACAACTGTGGACAAATTGACTCCTACAAACCATTGCTTTCTCAAAAGGAAAAGGTCCTGGCTTGGCATAGTATGTTTGTTTTTTTTTAATCATCAGAATGTGTGGTATTGTCTAGTTACACGGCATACCTATTGACAAAGGCAAACAAATTATAAGGAGAAAACTAAGCTTCCAGACTCATTACACATTAAGCACTGGAAACAAAAAATGGTCCAGTGCCAGCTCAGAACTTTTATGGGAGCAACTCATTCAACCAGCTCTCATTAACTGTAAGTATCAGCTTTTGCATGTAAAAGAGCTTCCAAATCGACTTCTCTGCATTTACCCAAAAAAGAAAGCTGATTCAAATGTCATATAATATGCCCTTTTAAGATATTAGTACAAAGGACACACACATACTCCAGGCATCCTTTTTCAAAGCACTGTGCTTAGGTAAGGCCCATTTAGATCAACCTGATAAAACAGTCAACACAAAGGCCAAAGAAGATGAAGCTCTGTCTAAATTCAGCCGGGTTAATACTTGCTAAATCACACCATGTAATACTTGGGAAGCTAATCTTGAAAAAGGTAAGCAGGGTCATTGCTGGCTGCTATTTAGTAGAAGACCTGTAGGATATTTTGGGGCTGCAGACCAGATGGGGAATGTGAAAGAACATCCTAACAAAAAACAATGGCTTTTCTTTTCCCCCCCCCCAAATAATTTTATTCAGAATAATAAATGAAAAGAATAAAAGCCAATACAGGCTACAAAAAATACAAACA